CCTTCGCCTCCTCCTCCTCCTTTTCCTCATTATCCTCCCTCCTCCCTTTGAACCTGGACCTCTCGACCCCTGAGGGCATTCGGCCCTTGCTGCGGCCCCCGATATGTACACCGCTGGGGGCGCTTGGCAGTACGCCGGCACCAGGGGCTGCCACTCCGCCCGCCGCGCGCGCTCAGGCGTGTCCAACACCTGAGCGAGGTCCGTACCCGTCGGTCGGAAGAAGTGGGCGTTGGAAGCAGATTGGAAGTAGGAAGGCGTTGAAAATAGATTGGGCTTCCGCCGCCCCCTGAAAAGGAGGGAAGAGGGAAAACTACTCGACTCTTGTAGTAGGAAAGCGGATTAAATAGATTGAGATCTGGGAATCCAAAACTACCTACTTTGAACGACCGGCGTGTACAGTCAACCCGCTGCTTAAGGACGCACGATAAGGATGCGAGGGTCCTGGAAGGCCATGTCGACACTCTGCGAGCGGGGCGCGGCCAGCGAAAGCGGCCAAGGATGGACCGAAGGGGAAGGATACAAGGGCAGCCGTGGAAAATTGCTCATCCTTACTATGCGGGTTGACTGTACAGCGAGGTGTTCAATCGAAAGTCTCGGCGAACGGAAAATGGCCAGCCCACTGCGAGGTGTCCAGGGCACGGCCCCTCGACCGCAGAGGTTGGCAGTGTAGGGCGCAAGGTCTCTGCAAGGGCACCCCAAAATTCCCCATCTTGCCAACTTCCCCCACATCGTTCTGCTACCCTCCTGCTCAATCGGCTCCTACTCCTCCTCCTACTCCTCCTCCTCCTCCTCCATTTCTCGTCCTTATAGATAGCTCTTCCCTGTCGCACCCCGAGGCCGATCGAAAGGGCAGACCGGGCGTTTCGCCTGAGACTTCCTCGACACTTATGACCCTGATGCTTAAACTGGACAACCAGTTCACAAAGGGAGGGCGGGTGGTTTTCAAAACGTGGCTCTCATCTGAGCGCCGCGCACATTCGCTTTTAAACTTTGCAAGAGTTTCACGGATTGGAGGCGTGTAGTTTTCAAATTGTGGCTCTCGCTTTAGCGCCGCGCACATTCGTTCCAAAATTTTGCAAGAGCTTCACGGATTAAGGGCGGGTCGTGGTTAACTCACCACCCGAAGAAACTGGATTCATATATGGTACACATATGTTGATACCTTGATAGCGTGGCCTCCCCATGGGGACCGCCGAAACAGCGACAGCGCACATATAAAAAGCGTGGGACGAGCGACCTGGCACGATGCACACCCTTTTGACATCAAGCAAGCGCCGCGGCATCACGGATGTTTCTCGGATGCGTTGCCGGCCAACGCCGGCTGAAATGCGATCACAACTTTCGAAATTGCCACACACACACACGCACTGATAATTTGCGGTGTGTGGGGGGAGGCGAGTGGGAGCTTGAGCGGGAGCGGTTTCGGCGCGGAGGGAGAGACCAGCACCAGGAGAGCGTGCAAGTGTGACGCACTCATCAGCTCAGAAGCTCCCGAAGCCACTCGTTCACAGGAAAAAGAATCAGAGACAAATCGTTCCTACCTGGATAGCGTGGCCTCCCCATGGGGTCCGCGGAAACAGCGACAACGCACACATAAAAAGCGTGGGACAAGATACCTGGCACGACGCACACCCTTTTGACATCAAGCAAGCGCCGCGGCATCACGGATGTTTCTCGGATGCGTTGCCGGCCAACGCCGGCTGAAATGCGATCACAACCTTCGAAATTGTCCCCCCCCCCACACACACACAGATCATGCGTCCCATCCCCATCCTCAAGTGCCCTTGGGCGGGCGGGTGTGAAAACAACTTTCAGGCGCCGAGATTGCAGAGGTGGGCCAGAAGAGACAAGTCTGGGAGGCAGACTTGCGTCTGCTGAGGGTGTCACGGATGGCAGCAACATTGAAACGGGTCGCTGGTGCTCTGAAAGTCGTGAGATTATCATCCGTCAAAGAGCAGAACCGTGCTTTTCATATACTTACATTCTTAGCGCTCCGGCGCCCACTTTTGCTGAATAGCTTTGATGGGCCCGATTCGGTGCCCGAAATGTTGTGGCGGCCTCCGTGGCGAAGTTGGCGCAAAAACTGCACAGGATAGCACCAACTCTCACCGTTTGGGCAGCCAATCTCCAGGTCTTTCCCAACAACGGCATAATTAACATAATCAAGGGATGGAAAAAAAAAACGGGCAGCTGCAGGCGCCACGCGGGGGGGGGGGGCCGAGGCCTAAATAGGATCTCGGAAACCGCGCGACGGAAGGGCAAGTCAGCACCTGCCTTCGCAATGCGATCAGAGTCTTGTTTTTCGCATGCTTGCTTTCCCCTGGCGGGGCCACGCCCACTGCGATGTCCGCCGAGCAGCCAGAGGTGCGGGAGCCGAAGAAGTGCTCGGGTTCGAAACCGAGCCTGTCTCTCGGAGTGCCCACGAACTCGCACAGGCCGCACTCTGCGTTGCGAGCCAAATACAGGGGCCCCCGAAGTACAAATTGAGCGTGCCGTCGGACACGGTCGGTGCGGTCACGTCGCTGAGCAGAGTCGGTCAAATCGACCATGGCAGGCGCGTCGCTGTCGACTATGGCCAGCCTGAGAGCGGCCCGCCCGAGCTGCTCAGCCGTAGCCTCCAGGGCGGCGGCACCAGGCGTCGCCCGAGGCCGCCAGCGCGGCCGGGCGCCTCGCCCAGGGCGAAAGGCCGCGGGCGTGATGGCACGCAGGCGCCAGGGCGCCCAGCCCGCGCGCGGCCTGGCTGCAGCGTCGGCGCCCTCTCGGGCGCGGGTCGAGCGCCGTGGCCCAGCCTGGTCTCCAAGGGAGCCGAGAGCGCTGTGGGCAGATGGGCGCCGTGACCTCCCGAGGCTCAGCGACTCCTGCCGCGCTCGCCAGCGCGCGGGCCCGGGCCAGGATGTCCGCCCGCGTCGACCGTCCGAACGCGCCATCAGCTGAGGGGCGTTGGGGCCAGCCAGCGGGACCAGCAAGCGGCGCCGGCTGGGCAGGTGGGCTCCTTCCTGCCAACGTCGCGCGCTACGTCCGGCCTCGCGCCGGGTGCCTGGCCTTGCCCTGCAGCTCCACCCTGCGGCGGCGCCCGCAGCTCCACCCTGTGGCGAAGCGACAGCCCGCTCAGCGCGGGAAGGCCCCCCGCGATCGCGCCCGGCTTCTTGAAGGGCGCGCCGAACCTGCACGAGTCGAACAGCACCTTCGGCCAGAGGAGGCTTCGCAGCTCCTGCTCCGGCGCTGGCCACCTCCAGACCCGGCTCGCAGGCGGGTTCTCGAAAGCGACGAGAACGCCCGCGGCCCGGCACAACCACAGGACACAGACAGTGAAGGCGACCAGTGCGCGGTCCGCATGCGACGGCTCACGATCGCCCCCGACGGGGGCCCACCTTGTGCAAGGCAAGCCCACGTATACCCACCAGACCTCGCCGGATTTGAGCCAATGTTCAACGAGACGCTGTACTCGACGGTTTGCGAGGTCACAGTGGGGCCCATACTTCGAGTTCACCGGGCGCAGGATCCGACACCGCGCGCAACGCGCCGCTGAGGTTTGCCGCCCCCGCGAAGATCTCCAGGAAGGCCTTCCGAGAACAACGCTGCTTCCTACTCGGAGGTGTCCGATGCAGCCCAGGTGGTGCAGGTTGACCAGGGGGCTCCCGTGGGGGCCTCCAGGTGGCAATGTCCACGCAGGCCCCGCTGAGGATCTCCAGGTGGCCCAAGGTGTCCATGTTGGCCCTGCTGATGAACTCCGGGTGGCCCGCCTACGCCAGTGGGACATCGAACTCGCTCGCGTCGAACCGATTCGGGTCGATTGTCAAGCGCGTTCCATGCAGCCCAAGAGGGAGAGACGTAGACGAAGAAGGATGGAATGACGCGGGGAAGCCGACCCATCGGTCTCTGATGGTGTTTTCAGGCCCCACGAACTCGGCCTACTCTGCTCAGATATCATTCTCGAGGGCCGCGGCAGGCAATGGGGTGGCGCTGCTCGCGGCCGGCGGGCACGCGGGCGTCTGGCGGCCCCGCTCGGCTGGCGCCGAGAGAGAGAGGGCCCCTCGCCCTCGGTAGCGCCCCGCGAGGAACTCGCCCCGATCGGCCGCGCGGCCCCCGTGGTTCGCGACGTGGTGGATGCCGGGCGCATGCCTTGGGCGCCAGCGGACCTCGCATGCAAAGCAGACCGCCGCCGCTCGGCGGCACTGCGCCAAGAGCTCAAAATTGGCGGCCCCCCGCCCGCCGCCCTCCACAGCGGCGCGACAGCCGCCCGCGCCTCCAGAGCGCGGATCCGACCTGGGCGCCGCCGCGCGACTCGCCGGCGCTCGACCCAGCAACTGGCGCCCAGCAGCGCCTTGGCCAGGGGCTCTGGGAGCGCTCCGATCTCCAGCTCGACGCGCCGCCTCTCGGCCACCGCGCGCCGCAGTCGCAGCGGCGGCTCGATCGGCGGGTCGGGCAGGTCGCCGAACCCAGCAGCGCGGCCCTCGCACAGCTCGTCGCCGGGCGCCACTTCGACCGCGGCGGGGGCGCGCTGCTGCCGCCCTCGCCACCTGGCGGCGGCAAGGACCTCCCACGGCTCCAGCCTGGCCTCGCAGACAGTGCAGCCCCGCACCGAGCTGTCGGTCGCGAAGGCGACTTCGGACGTCACTCGGCACAGGTGCACCTCGCCAAGGAAGAAGAGGCCCGCGCAGCTGGGCGACGGGGGCCAGGTCGCCGCCCCCGATGAACGTGTAGAAGGCCCCAAGCGCGCTGAGCCCTGGGCGCGCCGCGGAGAAGTGGCGCGCAAGGTGGCCGACGATGCGCCGCAGGTGCCAGCGGGCCAGCCAGGGCTCGCGCAGCACGTGGTGGAGCGCGAGGTAGAGCCTCCAGGCCCGCTTGGCCGTGCGCCTGAGGCGCCTTCCGCGACCGTCGAGCACCGCCCCAAGAACGACGAGGCCGGGTTGGGCTTGCTCCAGCTCGCGCGTCAGCCCCGCGACTCCAACGATGGACCCATGGGGGCCCGTCTGGAAGGAAAGAACTTCTGGGGTGCGCCCAGGAACCCAGGGGGTCCGGTTTCCGCGGAGGCAAAACAACAAATCCCTGGCGAGAAATCGAGCACGGGGGTTACTCCCGCCTCGCATTCCAGAAGAGGAATGAATTCTTAGCCGCGGGGGTGCCCGCGCGAGGGGCCCCACCCCCCCTAGCGCAACCAGGGGGGGAAAAGCGTGAGAGCCCAGTGTAAGTGCAATGCAGCAACACTCTAATTGTGGTTGCACTAGGGAATTGTGCTGGTAATAAGGAGTTGTACCAGGGAGTCCTACTGGGAGTTTGACTAGTACTAGGGAGTTGCACATGGGGTTGCACTAATGGAATTGCACTAGGGAGTTGCACTGGGGAGTTGTACTAAAGAGATGCACTAAGGAGTCGTACTACTTACATTAGATCTATCACTAGGTAGCACTACGGAGTTGTATTATCAAGTCTATTATTACTAGAGAGTTGTACCTGGGGGTTGTACTAGGGACTTGAACTAGCGATTTGTACTAGCACTCGGGAATTGCAAAGAGTTGTGCTGGTACTATTTGTGCTAGATAAATGTACCAGGGAGTTGCGCTGGGAAGTTGCACCAGGGAGTTGTACTAGTACTAGGGAATTGTACAACGGAGTTGAACTAGGACGCACAGTTCTACCACTTGAAATATGATACCAGTTGCACTCCAATACTCGCACGGCAGGACAATGTGCCCCCTAGGAGCGACTGCGCGCTAGTACCTGATAGTACCAATCGCACTCATGTACTACTTGCACGGTAGTCGGAAAAGGTCCAGGGGTTCCAATGGCAACTTGCGCGCGGAAGAAAGAAAGAAATCCATGCGCCGTCAGGGGTCCCCGGTTTAACGGGTCGCGGCGAAGGTTGACCCCCCGCGGAAAGAAGAAAATAAATCCGGCCAAGAGGTTGGGGGGTTCAGGCATGAGTCGCGGGGCTGATGCTCGTGCCAGCGCGGCCCGCATCCGCTCAGCTCGGCGGTGGGCTTCTCCCGGCGGGCGTCGAGCGCTGGCGCGCTGAGCGAGACGAGATTCCCGTCGTCGACGCACGGCGCCCTGGCGACGGCCTGCCCGACCAAGGTCGCGGCGCGAGCCTCGCCAAGGCGCCGGCCGTCGCCGGGGAGGCCCGCCGCGTCCATTGCGTCGACGAGAACCTCGTGGCAGATCCAGAGTTCCCGGCCCCGGCCCATCGGCGCCGCCGCGAAGCAGGGCCAGATGGCGTGGTCGCCGTCGACGGCCGCGCGGCGGCCCAGCTTCTCGTCGTCGATCGAGTCGAGCCCGAGCTCGTCGGCGGCGGCCTCGATGTCGAAGCGCATCCAGCTGCCCCAGGACGGGTCGGCGAACTGGTAGAACCCGTCCAAGAGATCGGCTGAGCCTACGCACGGCGAGTCGCAACAGCCATCGAAGTCAGGCAAGTCCGCGGGGCTCGCATCAACGGCGTCGGGCAACTTGATGGAGCCGAAGACCCCCCCGGGCGCCAGCACGGTCCGAGGTGGAAGCCTGTGCAGCTGGTTGACCTGGCGCGCGTCGACGACCACGCGAATTCCCCCGGTCTTTTTGGCGACAAAGACGGCGCGACGCACGCCTTCCGCCGTTCCTGACCGCCCGCAAGACCACGCTCAGCCAGTCGTCGAAGGAAATCGACCAGCCGCGGTCGGCTGCGGGGGTCACTGGGGTTGAAGAGAGGGTCCCAGAAAGGCTCGACGATGGCCTCATCCTCGAGGATGTTGAGCCTGGGCCGAACGACGTTCTGAGTCAAAGTTGCCCAGCGTCTCGGAGACATGCCGAGGGGCAACGTCACGCAGCTGGCGAGGCCGTTCGCCAGGTGGCCAGCGCAGCACGTTGAGCATGTCTGCGTCGTAGTCACGGCGAGCAGTGGCCTCACCCATATTCGAATAAAGATCCTTGCGCCCGAGGAGCTCCTGGAGGGCTCCAGCGTAGTCCACGTCCTCCGGGCGATCACCCAAGCCGCGGACGCGACGTGGACCCGCTTGATGACCGACACCTGGGCGGCAGTCGGCCGACGCATGCTGGGCGCGCGAGACTCGAGACGCCCCCCAGCCCGCGCGGCCGCCAGAGCATTGAGCGCCCCCGGAGCCTCGACAGACCTTCGATCGCGATCATCAGCACGAGCAGCACGCTGGGCCAGATACCGAGGTAAACTGGCACTTTGTGGCAGAGGAAAGAAAACTGAGGACGTAGTCCGACCCTCGGAGGAGACCCCCTCGAAGGGATGGCCGGCCCAGCGCGCGCCCGCGGCTGCGCGGCCAGGGCCAGGCCGGGCGAGGCCAGGCGGAGAGCCCAGCCAAGGTGGCGCCGACATGGCGCCGTCAGCCCTGATCCTTCCTGGCGAACATGGCCTTCGGCCTCGCCTTGGCCTTCGATTCCGCTTGGGTGCCCCTCTCCTCGTCGTCGCTCTGCCTCTCGCACTTCTTCACCTTCGACTCCTGCCTCTCGCTGTGCAGGCTCTCCTGCTCGTGAGTGATGCCCCGTGACTTCTGCTCCCCAGCTGCGGACGCACTGAACTTTGACGTCGCGGCCCGCCCGCTCTCGCACGGGGGCCGCCCAGCACCGGCCCGGGCCCCTCGAAGCCCGAGCGGCCCAAGCACCTCTTCACGGCCCGCTGGGTCTGCAGCGCTCGACGGCCCAGCGGCTCCAGCGATGCTGGGCTGGACGGGTCCATGAGGCTGTGCGTCCCAGGATGGCGCAGCGCGCTCTGCACGCGCTTCACTTCCTGCACCGCCGCAGCATCCCACGACACCTCCGGCTCCGAGGCCCAGCGCACCCAGCTCGAAGTGAGGCTGAGACCCGTCGCGTCGGCAGCGATCCGCAGCTCGGGGAGCGCCTTCGGCCCTCGGAAGGGCTGGGCCGGCCGTCGCCGTAGAACGCGTTCAGCTTCGAGATAGCCCTTGTACACGTTCCCGACCGAGATCCACCCCTCCTCTCCGCTGAATCATGGCGATCGCGACCCTGTCGCGGCCGGCCTCGGGGGCGACCGTGAGGTAGACGTCTAGCTCCTCTCCGAAACCGTTCGACCCCGGGTCCGAGACGATCCAGCGAGGCACGGCGGCGCCTCGGGTGGTGGTGGGCACCTGGGCGCCCCTGTCGGTCGCCAGCCCACGGGCCTCCACCGATGTCCTCGTCGCTCCACTTCCCGAACGCGTAGACCAAACCGCGGACCCGAGCCAGGAACGCCGCAACGCGTCGGAAATCCATGACCGTGTCCACGGTGAGGTCCAGAGCGAAGGCCTCGCCGTCCGTGTTAGCGAGCACCCTGCGCCTGGGACTCATTGCACGAGCAACAGCCGATGCGGCCATCTGAAGTACCCGTCGTCGTCGAAGATGACACACCTGAGGCTCGAGGTCGTTCAGGGTCAGCTGCGCCATGACGACAGCGAGCCAGCTCACGCGCGCACCGCGCAGAAGCCCCGCCGCGCCCCCTCCTGCTCGAGCCCGTCGTCCTCCACGACCAGGGCGGGGGGAGCCGCAGCGTCCCGGCGCCGCTCCGATAGGCCGCTGGCGCGCACCGCAGCCCAGCGCACATCACCGCGCGAGCCCGCCTCCGCCGACCACGAAGCCAACGGCCAGGACGGCGGCGGCCGCCCACCAGCCCAGCCCGCTCCTCCGGGACGGGCTGCACGGCGGGCCGCTGGGGCAACCCGGGCTCATGGCCGTCAGCGGCGGCGGCCAGGAACGGGTCCCGCAGGTGGCTGGCGGCGGCGGCGGCGGGCGCTCTGGGCCCGAGCCGCACGTCACCCGAGCCTCTGAGCCAGGCGGCCGCTGCGAATCCCACGCGATCGATCGCCACCGACGCCGTCCGACCGCGGGCCGCGGCCCGCAGGGTAAAGATCGAAGACCAGGCCCCCCTGAAGATTAGAGCTTGAGCGGGAGCGGTTTCGGCGCGGAGGGAGAGAGCAGCACCAGGAGAGCGGGCAAGTGTGACGCACTCCTCAGCTCAGAAACTCCCGAGGCCACTCGTTCATAGGAAAAAGAGTCAGAGACAGATCAGTGTCGATCTATTGATTTTGTCTGGCTCTTGTGGGCCCCCACGCCGGGGGCGCCCAAGCGACCACATGTTAGTTACCCCCCTTGGGTGGCCCGCACACGTAAAACCACGTGGTTCCAGCTCGGGGCAACATCTCTCTGAATGGCTTGCGCACCTGAAAACACGTGGTTTCAGCCCGGGGTCACCATGTTAGATACCCTTTTTGGGTGGCATGGACACATGAAAACACTTGGTTACAGCTCGGGGCCACCGTGTTAGGTACGTACCCCTTTTCTGGGTGGCCCAGACACGTGAGAAACACGTGGTTCCAGTGATGGGGCAAGAGGCCACCTTCTTAGATAACCCCCCTGGGCGGCCTGGGCCGATAAAAGCACGTGGTTCCAACACGGGGCCACCAAGTTAGATGCCCCCCCCCCCCCCCCCCCATGCGTGGCCTGGACACGTGAAAGCACTTGGTTCGAGGTCGGGGGTGAAAACACGTGGTTCCAGCTCGGGACCACTATGTTAGATATTCCCCCCCGGGTGGCCTGGACAAGTGAAAACACGTGGTTCCAGCTCGGGGCAACCAAGTTAGATACAGCCCTGGGCGGCCCGGACTCGTAAAAACGCGTGGTTCCAGCTCGGGGCAGCCATGTCAGATACCTCTCTGGGTGGCCTGGACATGTGAATACACGTGGTTCCAGCTCGGGGCCACCATCTTGGATACCTCTCTGGGTGGCCTGGACACAGGAAAACACTTGGTTCCAGCTCGGGGCCACCATGTTAGGTACCCATCTTGGTGGCCTGGAAAAGTAAAAGCACGTGGCTCCAACGACGGGCCAGGGGCAAGGGGCAACCGTCTTAGATACCCCCATGGGTGGTCTGGACTCGTGAAAATACTCGGTTCCACCTTGGGGCAACGATCTTAGATAACCCCTTGGCGACCTGGACACGTGAAAACAAGCATTCCGCCTGAGACACTCTCTGAACTCGGCCCTCCCCCCCACCAGGCATCCGCTCGAGGCGTCCCACAATTCTACAAAACCAGCGTTTCGCTCGAGACATCCTCAACAAATGTCTAAAACAAGCGTTTCGCTAGGGACATCCTTAACTTTTTAATTCGCCGGCCCTGCCAAACTTCGTTATTCATCGCAGAACAGATTCGCTAGCCCTACGCAAGTTCAGGCCCGGCACAATGTACAAACTACAAGAGAATCCTGTGCCGACGCCCTTTCCTGGAGAAACATGATCGACCCACGAACCTGGAAAATAATAAAGAAATGTGAAGCATGGCAGAATGTTTTCAAGTGGCCTGATTGGGCGACGAGCAATTGCAATATATTGCAATGCTCAGTGTATCGATCTTGATGTACCGTGCCGAGGGCTGTGCTGTGCTGCGCCGTGCTGCATCCGAGTCCTGACCAAACTGATCTGGATCTTAAGCTCGAGCTGCCTGAGCACATCATAGCAGCTGCCCCAGAGCCAGTTGACAGGGGGACATGCCAGGGGGGCGCGCCGCGGAACGTCCCAAGGGACGCTCCAAGGGACGTGCCAAGGGACGCGCCATGGGGACGCACCGCGGGACGTGCCAAGGGGACGCGCTACGGAACGTGCTAATGGACGTGCCACGGGACTTGCCAGGGGACGCGCCGCGCGACGTGCCAGGGGGACTCGCCACGGGACGCACCACGGAACGCGCCAGGGAACGTGCAAGGCGACGCGCCAGGGAACGTGCCAAGGAACGCGTCAAGGAACGTGCCGCGGGACGTCCCTGACCCAAGGCCAGAATCCCTCCTAAGTAAATTGCACTGCGTCCGCGCTCCCAAGGCCACGATCCATCGTAAATTGTGCTGCGTCCGCGCTCCCAGAGCCATGACTCCTCGTAAATTACGCTGCGTCCGCTCTCCCTGGGCCACGATCCCTTGTAAACTGCGCTCCCAAGGCCGCGCTCCCTCGTGAATTACGTTGTGTCCGCGCTCAAAGGGCCACGATCTCAAGTAAATTACGCTGTGTTAGCCCCCCAAGGGCCACGATCCATCGTAAATTACAATGCGTCCGCGCTCCCAGGGTCACGATCCATCGTAACTTACGCTGCGTCCGCGCTTCCAGAGCCACGACCCCTTCTAAAATTACACTGCGTCCGTGCTCGTAGGGCCACGATCCATTTTAAATTACGCTGCGTCCGGCTTCCATGGCCACGACCCCTTGTGCATTAAACTGCGTCCGCTTTCCCTGGGCCACGATCCCTCGTAAATTGCGCTGCGTCCGCGCTCCCAGGGCCGCGCTCCCTTGTGAATTACGCTGTGTCCGCGCTCCCAAGGCCACGTTCCCTAGTAAACTGCGCTGCGTCCGCCCCCCCAGGGCCAGGATTCCAGGTAAATTACAATGCGTCTGCGCTGCCGGGGTCAGGATCCCAAGTAAATTACACTGCGTCCGCGCTCGCAGGGCCACGATCTCTAGTAAATTACGCTGCGTCCGCGCTCACACGGTCACGATCCCTCGTAAACTGCGCTGCGTCCGCTCTCCCTGGGCCACGATCCCTGGTAAACTAAGCTGCGTCCTCCCAGGGCCACGATCCATTGTAAATTACGCTGCGTCCACACTCCCAGGGCCCCCTGGGGCATCCTGGGGCGTCCAGATTGTTGGAAGTCTCCCAAACAAGCGTTTCGCTCGAGACATCCCCAACACATTATGCAAAACAAGCGTTTCGTTCGAGACATCCGCAACAAACGAACATGCTTATTTTACCCTGTGGTTTATCGATCGGAATTTCAAAAACCAGCGTTTCGCCCGCTCGATTTCGTTACTCATCACAAAACAATTTCGCCAGCACTCTTCAAGTCGATTCCAGGGGGGATCAACCTACTAAAAAAGAACCCTGGGCCGACGCCCTTTCCCGGAGGAACTAAAAGAGAACCCTGGGCCGACGCTCTTTTGGGAAAGAAGCAAGAGGCGGCGGTGATTCGCAGTATGCGTCTTCGATAATACCGGTAGCTCTTACCCCCCCAGAGTCGGCGGGGCTGGGTGAGAAGCATATGTGTTGA